TGACCGGCGCCGGCGCCGCGAAGGCCAAAGCACACACCCGGGCCAGGAGCGGGGTCACGCGGAGGAGCAGCCCGCCCGGGCGCCCGGGGCTGCCCGGGGAGCCAGGCCCGCCGGGCAGCCTGGGCGAAGAGCCCCCACTGGCGGGGTCATCCTGTGCGGCGGCGGCGGCCGCCGCCGCGGCCACCGTGAGCAGCTCCGAGGAGGAGGACCCACCGGCCGCGGCGGTGCTCGAGGCCGCGGCCAGGCTCACCGTCCCCACCAGATCCCCGGACACCAGCCGCGGGGCGGTGGCCGCAAAGAGGTGGTGATGCCCGCAACGGTCCGGGCACAGGGGGGTCGGCAGGGCACCGGCGGCCGCGGCCACCGGCCCATCAGCCCCGCCGGCATCGCGATAGAGTCGGCTCAGCAAGGGCACCGACAGGGCCACGCTGCCGCCAGATCGGAAGAGCACACGTAAAGAGGTGGTGATGCCCGCAACGGTCCGGGCACAGGGGGGTCGGCAGGGCACCGGCGGCCGCGGCCACCGGCCCATCAGCCCCGCCGGCATCGCGATAGAGTCGGCTCAGCAAGGGCACCGACAGGGCCACGCTGCCGCCGAGGAAGGCCTCCACCCCGAGGGGGCTGAGGACCGAATCGCGCCGGCCCTGCGACCAGGCCGAGGCCTTGATGCCGCCGGGACCGGTGGCCCCGCCGCCGGGGCGCTTGCACGACCAGGCCTGCATGGCCGGATCATACCGACAGCCGGGGGAGGATGCCCCAGCCGGCCGGGCGCAGGGCAGGGTCTGCCACACGGCCGCCTCTTCGAGGCTGACCGCGCAGCTGACACGCCAGGCGACCGTGGCCCCTGGCAGCAAGCCCAGCGACCCGAGGGGCACGGAGGCGGCGGCCGCGGCGGCCGCCGTCCCGGTCGCCCCACCGAGGTCCAGCAGCCCGGCCCGCGTCTCGACCGACTCCACCAGCGCCGGGTCCGGCGACAGGAAGAGCCGCACCCGCATGGCCGCCAGCGACAGCTGGGCCAACGGCGGACAATCCCCCGGGGCCGGGGCCCCCGGAGCCGGCAGCGCACTCGGCGAAAGGATGGCCACCACCGGACCGATGACCGCCCGGACGGCAAAGTGCCCGGGCCGGATGCGGCTCATCAGAGACAGGGGATGCGCGCTGGCGCCGGCGCCACCGGCTGGCCCGGATGATGCAGACCCGCTGGCCGGGGAGGACCCGGGCGAGGCGGCCGAGCCGCCGGCCGAGCCGCCGGCCGCCGCCGACCCGGCCCCGGCATCGGCACGCCCGGTGGCCGGCGACGCCTGGGACAGAAGCCGAACAATGGGATGGGCCTGCAGGGCCAGCGCCTGGCCAGCGGCCGCCAGCTGCAGCAGGAACCGGCTGACCGCCGGATCCACGCGCAAGGCCGTTTCCCCGGGCAGGGACAGGTCCATCTCGCAGTCGAAGTGGGCCGGGGCGTCCCAGCTGGCCGGCTTGCCGAGGCTCAGGACCGCGGTCACTTGAACCGGGTCCACCTGGGCGAAGGGGAAGCTGGTGGGCAGGTGCTCCGGCGGATCGGCCACCCCCGGCAGCAGGGCCCCGGGCAGGGCCAGCTCGAAGCGTGCCCCGGCCAGGCGAACATCCACACGCGACTCCAGCAGCATGCCATGCTGGAAGTCCAGGCCGCTCCGGTGGAAGGCCCGGCTCTGCCGGTGGAGAAGCCGGCGCTGGCGCATGGTCAGCGGCACGCTCGACGCGGCGGCCACCATGCTGCCCGGCCCCCCCAGCACCGGGCTGGCACTGCCAATCAGGAAGGGGGTGCTGTCCTCGCCGGCGGCGGCCACAGCGCCGCGCGCCGCCCAAATGGCAATGCACCGCGGGGCCAGCAGCGGCAGGAGCTCATCCGCCACGGCAGTCAGCGCGGCATCCAGCCCGCGGCCGGACACGACCACGACGCCGAGCTCCGCTCGGACATCCACTCGGCAGAGGGCCACCGGTGGCCGGCCGGCCGCCGACTGGCAAATGCACGCGACATCGGCCAGAACCGGCGTCCGGGGGTCGCGCGCCGGGCTGGCAAAGGGGTTGCCCCGGGCGCCGGCCGGCTCGCCACTGGCGAAGGGATTGCCCCTGGCCGGGGTCCGAGTGGCCGGGCCGCCGTCGAAGGGGTTACTCCTGGCCGAGGGAGCCGGCCCGCCGAAGGGGTTCCCACGATCGCCGAAGGACCCGCCATCCGGGGCCCGGCCACCGGCGAAGGGGTTCCCCCGATCGGCTGACGAGCTGCCGGCCCGAGCCCGGGGCAGCCGCGCCGGGTGCGACTGGTCAACCGGGCAGCTGGGACACACCCGGGCCAGGCGCGGCTCGGCCTTCACGGTCAGGTTCAAGGGCAGCAGGACCGGCAGGCTGCCGCGCGGGGCGGAGGCCAGGCGAGAGGCCCGGCCGGTGCCAATGCGCGCCTGGCGCTGGCTCGGCGTCATGCTGACCGCCAGGCCGGCCAGACTGACCGACATGGGCCATGTGTCAAAGAGCTGGCCGTCCGCCGTGGAGACCCCGTCACCGGGGCCCGGGTCCGTGGAAGCGACGCCCGGCAGGGCATGTGCATGGAAGTCCGGCAGCTGGCCAATCGCGGCCAGCAGCTCGCCGGCCGTGATGGACAGCCGGGCGGCGGCATTCCCGGCCCCGGTGGCCGCCGGCCCGGCCGACCCGCGGCCCGGGCCGCCGGCGCCGGGGCCACCGGGCCCGCCCTTGCCGAAGCTCGTCAGGCTCAGCAGCAGGCCAACATCCAGCCCATGCAGACGGGTGAAGACCGTCACGCAGCGCAATTGCCGAGCCACCGGGAGCAGCTTCTCCGTCAGCGTGGGGGCCGACATGGTGGACGCCTCGCCTGCTGGGCTGCCGTCGGCGTCCCCGGCGCCGGCGAAGGGGTTGCTGGTGACGGCGGCGGCGGCGGCCGCCGCCGCCGCCGCCGCCGCAACGGCCTTGGTCGTCTGGACCCGCGGGCGGATGACACTCTCCGACAGGGAGGCCAAGTGGCTGAGGTCCAGCAGTGAGAGGGACAAGCTCGGGGGGAGGGTCACCTCCAGGCGACCGAGGTCCACGGCCGCGGACACGGTGTTGGCTGGCTCCGGCCGGCCCAGGGCACCCGGCAGCAGGAGATACGGATCGGTGGCCGACAGGAGTTCGGACCCGGCCGGGGCCGCGCCGGCGCCCGGCCCGGCTGGCCGCGTGTCGAAGGGGTTCCCCCCGCCGGCGGCCAGGTCCCCACCATGGAGCAAGGGCCACAGGGAGGCCGGGCCCGCCGGGCCAACAGCCGGCGCGACGACCGCCCGGTTTGGCAGACTCAGGCGCAGGAGCATGACCGGGCGCCGGGCGGCCGGCTCGCCGGCGCCCAGGTCGCCGCCATGCCCGGCCCCATGGGCGGACGGCTGCGCGCGCCCGGTGGCATCCACCCGCGGGCAGAAGACCCACATGCTCTCGGCCGCCGAGAGGGACAGCGGCCCGACCAGGGGCGCCGTCCCGACGGCCGGGTCCCCGAGCATCGACCAGTACAGCTGCCCGGCCCGGAGACTGGCATTCCCCGGAGTGGGCAGGGGCCGAATGCGGAGGATGTGCTCGCGCGCGGCGGCCGAGCTCGGGGTCGGCGCCATGCCGAGCCCCGTGCCCGGGGTGAAGGTGGACGACACGCGCGTGGCCGACACACTGAGCGCCAGCCGGCCGAAGCCCGGGCTCAGGCTGGCGGTCCCCGGCGCCCGGGTGAAGGCCACCCCCTCCACGATTTCCAGGCACAGGCCCTCCACCAGGAAGCCCAGCGAGGAGGAGCTGACCGCGGCCGCGGCCCCGGAAGCCGAGGCAGCCGGCCGCCGACCGGGCGACGCGTCGGCCGTCGCGTCGGTCACCGGCGCTCCGCCGATGCCCGGCAGGCGGATCTCCACATCGAGCGCCGGCAATGCCAGCCGGATGTGGTCCTTGGCCGAGCCGGCCAGCGCATACACCTGGGTCCAGGTGGCCGGGAGCGGATGCAGCCCGGCGGCCGAGGGCTGCTTGCTGACGCCGCCGCCGCCGCCGCCGCCGCCGCCGCCGCTGCTGCTGCCCGACCCACGGGCTGGCGGCATGGCCGAGCGCTCGCCCAGGCCCTGGTGGAACACCCCCCAAGCCCCGAGGTCCGGGGCCAGGCAGGCGGCACCCAGACGCGGGCCCGCCCCCGGCGCAACCACCCGGCCGAAGCCCGCCAGCGACCGGGCCAGCACACCCAGATCCCGGTGTGCCAGGAGCTGCTGCACGCTGGCCACCGCCCGGCGGATGGCCGCCACGTCACCCGGGCCGGACCAATGCCGGCCGAGGTTGGCCATGATCGATGACAGGGGCAGGGTCACATGCACCGAGGGACAGGGGAAGGACACCTCGATTTCCTTGTAGGCCCGGGCCCGGCCGCCCGGCAGCCGGGCCCCGGTGCCCGGGACGCGCTCCGCCCCGGGAAGGGTGTCCAGCAGGAGATCCGGCATGCCGACGCCCCGGCGCCCGGCCAGCTGCAGGACCGCCCCCGGGGTGACCTGCCGGCCGGAGCGCACCAGCAGCCGCATGGCCGGCACGACGGGGCCCCCATCACCGGAGCCGATGCTCCCCATGTCGACGATGGTCAGGAGCGCCGAGGAGAGGGACGTCTCCGAGCCGCTGGTCGGGTCGGGCAGGCTCAAGGACACCCGGGCCCCGTCGAGCCCCATGCGCACGGAGGTCATATTTTGGGAGTCGCGCACCGACAGACGCAAGGCCCCGGTGGCTACCACCAGGGCGATGGCCGGCCCGGCGCCCGGCCCGGCGGCCACCGAGGCCAGCGATGTGCTGGTGCCCGAGCGAGCCGGCGCCGCCGGGCCGCCAAAGACACTGCCCCGGCGGGGGCGCGTCAGTGCCGGGGTCCCGGGCCCCGGGGCCAATGCTGCCAGCGCCGGCAGCGACAGCCGAATGCGCATCGGCGACACGAAGACCGACACCCGGGCCTTGACAAAGTCCCCGGGGACCTCGTCCACCGCATCGGCGGCCGCCGTGCCGGAGATCAGCGGATCGCCGGTGCCCCCGGCGGCCGCCGGTCGCCACCGGGGGCGCGTGTCCGCCGGCGGGTGGAAGCTCAGCCGCCGGGACCCGGGCCCGAGGCCGGCCGGGCTGCCGGGAATGCTGCCACCGTTGTCGCTGCCATCGCCACCGGGCGAGCCGTATGCCGCGGAGCCGGCCCCGGTCGCCAGGAGCCCGGCCTGGTCAATTCGACCGGCCCCGGCCCCGGCCGGCAGGTGCACCGGCGACATGAGCCGCATCCGGAAGAAGGGGCCCAGCGTCTCGGTCAGGCAGGCAAACATGCAAGCCACCGAGCGGGAGTCCGCCAGCACCGGGATCGGCTCGCCGGTTCCCAGGCGAACGTCAACCCAAGCACCAGGCAGCACGGCTGCCAGGCTGGTGAGCCGGCCGCGCGTCAGGCCGGCCCCGGTCAGAGACTCGGGGAAGGCCGGCAGCAGGACATCCACCGCCACCACCACCGGGCCCATGGTCGGGGTGACCACCATGCCGGGCATGTGCACGGCCAGGTCGAAATCGCACCGCCGCCCGAGGCAAGGCGACAGGCAATCGCCCAGCGGGGCCGCCGGCACCGGGGCCAAGCTCGGGCCCTCGTCGAAGGGCGACCGCTTGCCCGGCACCGGGGCATCATCAAATGGCGACCTCCGGACCGGGCCCGGGCCCGGGGCCGGGGCCGGGGCCTCGTCGAAGGGCGACCGCTTCCCCGGGGAGGGGCCATCCGGCTCGTCGAAGGGAGAGCGCTTGGTCGACGCCACCGGGGCCGGGTCTTCGTCGAAGGGCGACCGCCGGACCATGGGCTTCGATGGGGCAGCCGCCGAGGCCGCGCACCCGCCAGCTGCCCAGGGATGCTGGCCACAGTGCAGCGGCAAATCCCCGGCCGGGATTTCCAACTGCGCGGCCCACGCCGCCGGCGAGAGCCCGGACTCCCGGGCCAGGTCGGCCGTCCGGTGGAAGAAGCCCCCGATCAGGGCGGCCTCCAGGCAGCCGAGGCACGCGGCCCCGGCCCCGGCCAGGCCGGAATCCACCACCGGCGCCGCCAGGGCCAAGTGCGAAAGACGCATCTCCGGGGCCCGAACCGCCAGCTGGCTCACCTGGCCGGTGGCGATGAGGTCGGCCCGGGCCAGCGGGTCCGGGCCCTCGCTCAGGGAGTCCACGAAGTCCCGGTCGCCGGCCGGCCCCCCCCCGGCAGGGCCCTTGCCATCGGCCGGCCCGCCAACCGGGTAGGTGAACCCCGGGGCCAGGACACTGGGCGGGGTCAATTCCAGGCTCAGGAAGTCCGCCGACACGAGCATCGCCCCGAGGACATCCCCCGGCCGGCCGGTGCCGGTGTGCCCACGCGAGGCAAATCGCGTGCCGGGAACCAACAGGAAGAGCCCATGATTGAAGCTCACATGCGCTGACAGGAAGTAGCCGGCCGTTTGGCTGGAAATGTGCTGCCAGGCACGCAGGAGATTCATGCGCGCACGGCCAAGGCGGTCGGCGTGCGGCCGCGCTGTCGGCGACTGCACCGACCCGAAGGAGCCGCCGGTGTTCGCCGTGTCGGTGGCCCCGGCCGCCGCGCTGCCCAAAAACAGCGGGCTGCCCAGCAGGGCCGCCAGGTCCTGGGCGTCCGATCCCCGGGCAACTCGCTCCATGAAGGAATGCACCGCCGCATGGACATACTGCCGGAGGTCCCGCTCGACCGGGCAATCGCCGGTCCCCGAGGACGACCCACCCCGGGAGGGCCCGCCGCCAGGGGTGCCCCCATGGGCCAGCGAGAAGTCCGGCGCCAGCCAGTCCAGCCAGGCGGCCACGGCGGCCGTCGGGTAGCTGGCACGCAGGGTGGCCTGAAGGCACACGTCCACGGCCAGGGGGGCCGGCATGGCCGTGGCATCGGCCCCGGAGGGCATGATGCCCGGCAGCGGCTGGGGCGTCAGGAAGATGCTGACCGCTGCCCGGCTGGCCGTTTGCAAGAGATCCGCACTGCCCTCCAGCCCGGCATCCGAGCCGGAGGCCAAACTGTCAACACTCAAGGTCAGCCCACTGGAACTGGCCGACACGGGCAGGGCACACTCCAGCACGAGCCCCCCATTGGCGGGCTCGACGCCGGACAAAATGCGCAAAGCCTCCAGGGTGATGGTCCCCCCGAAGTCATCGGGCCCGGGCACGAAGCCGGCCATGTCCAGGGGGGCCGAATTCGGGGCCGACCCCGGGCGCGTGGATGACACCGACGTCACCGAGCTGATGGAGAGCGTGGACGAGGAGTGCCGAAGGCCGGAGGCCGGGGCGCCGGCCGTGGCCCCGGAGCTCGACATCGCACGACGCGAGCCGGTACCCGCCCGCGCAGGCAGCTGGCCCCCGTGCGACCCGACGCACACACTCAGGCCGGACACACACACGCGGAAGATCTCATCCCGGTGGTGGCCGGCCGGACGCGAGCGGGACATCGGCTCATGCGCCGAGCTGGACGCGCCCCGGCGCATGACCACAATCAGCCCGGGCATGTCGCACCGCAGGCGCCAGGCAACTTCCATGCGCCGGCGCGAGGCGGCCTTCTCGCCGGACGAGGAGCGCCCGGATGGGAGAGACTCCCCGGAAGCGGTCGGATCATCCCCGAGACCCAGCACACTGTCCCAGTCGCTGTCGCGCAGACCGGTCAGGCTGACATAGTCGGCCACGGCGTCGGAAATGTGCAACTGCCGCCCACCCGGGCTGGCCGGGGACGATGCCGAAGTGCCGGTCACCGCGGCGGCCGTCACCAACGACCCGACGGTGATCGCCGGCCCGGGCCGGCCGACACCGCCGGGCCCGGCGGCATCGGTGGCACGCAGCGGCGGCGAGGCGGACCGATCGGCCCCGTCCACCGGCCCGGTCGGCCGTAGGGACAGCGCCGCATCGAAGGCCGCCGCCATGGCCGATGGCGTGAGGTAGGGCGCCGGCCCGGGCTTGCCGGCGCCCGAGCGCACATCCAGCGACGAGGCAGCCGGCGACAGGCCGGCCGACGGGGAGGCCGGCACCGAGGCCGACCGGCTCGAGGGGGCGGCATTGGCCCCGGCACCGGATCCCGACGATGCAAACGCCCCCGAGCCGATGGACAGCTGCGACGAGCCGACCGAGCCGGTTCCCAGCTCGGAGGAGGCCAGCCCCGAGCCGACCGAGGGCGACCGCGTGATCCGGAAGGAGGAGGCAGCCGCACTGGCCTCCGGGGCCACTGGCGGCAGGGTTTCATGCGACGAGCCGCCGGACCCCGGAGGGGGAGTCCCCCCGGGCGAGGAGGAAGAGGACGAGGCGCGGTGATGGTGCGACGCGGCCACCAGCGAGGGGTCAGTGCCACCGGACCCGGGGGAGTCCTTCGGCCGGAACATGCCCTTCAGTCGCGAGGACAGGCGCTTGGTGGCCGACGAGGAGGAGGCCCCGGCGCCGGCGCCGGAGGAGGAAGCCCCGGAGCCCGAGGAGCCGGAACGCGAGGCGGCCGCCGCCGCCGCCATGGCCGCCGCCGCCCGGGCCATGGCCACCTCTTCGTCCTCCTCGGTGGCCGGGCTGTCGGCGAAGCTGGCCCGGCCGGATGCCGGGCCGCCAGCCATGGCAGCCAGATCGCTGGCGAAGGACCCGGATGCCGGGATGCCCGACAGCGAGGCGAGCGACGTGCTCCGGGGGATGGATGGCCCGTCGGGGGTGGGGTCGGGGGTGCCGGGATCCGGGGCATCGGCCGTTTGGGAGAGGATGCGCGCCGAGCTGAGGGAGTCGGCGCGGGAGCGCCGCCCGGAGGGGGGCTTGAGACGCGACCCGGTCGACGCCCCGCCGGACGTGGCCGACCCGCCGCCGGACGAGGAGAAGCGCTTGTTGGCGTCGCGAATGCGCAGGGCCGCCTCGGTCATTTGCGCCACCACCCCGAGGGCCTGGTCGCGAATGGCGCGCAGGACCTGCGCCGCTTCATAGAGAGCCGTCACGGGCACCGCGGAAATGGGCCCGCCCACGGAATGCGGCTCGGTCAGGTCACACTGCAGCATCAGGTAGATGTAGTTGCGCTCGGCCTGGAGAGAGCGCGCCCGGGCGTCGGCCAGGGCCTTGGAGTAGGAGCCGGAGGAGCTGCTGGAGGAGGACCCAGAGGCAGACCCCCCGCCGGCTTCGAGACCGGCAGCCGGCAGGGCCCCGGCCGGGCCGCCGGAGGACGAGATGATGGCCGACCCCGAGGAGGATACCATCAGGGCCAGGTCGCGAGCCAGCTGCTGGCAGGCCTGCCGGGCTCGGGCCACCTGGTGCATGCGCCGGGCCGAGGAGGTCGGCCCGGCCGGCGTCCGCGCCAGCACACACGCCACGGCATACTGCCACCGGAGCCGAGCCAGCGGAGTCCGCCCGGAGAGGTCGACGCCGGTGCTCGGGCTGAGCAGCGGCGAGGGCATCAACGGCGGGGCAGTCGGCGACCGGCAGGGAGAGGGCAAGGGGGCCGGGGTGACCAGGCCGAAGCGCGCCCGACCGGCGGCCCGATGCCGGCGCTGCATGCGCAGCATCACATCGCCGGCCACGGCCAGCAGGTGGGCATACTGGCCGGCGGCAAGCTCGATGCGCAGGGCCCCGACCTCCGGAGCCACATTGGTCCCGGAGGGGAGCCGATAGTCGCGGGTCGACACGCCGCGGTCATCCACCGCCAGCATGGACCCCGCCTGGTAGAGGGGCAGCGAGTGGAGCCGCGCCCGGACATCGATGCAAGTGACCGGCGGCTGGCCGACATTCCGCAGGGACACCTGCGCCGCCAGGCTGAAGGGCCGAAGGACGTGCGTGCATGCAAGCGGCGCCACGCCGCCGGTGGCCGCCGTCGAGGCCACCGATTCCGAGGCAATGCACCCGGCCATGCGGTGTGCGAAGCGCGTGCGGTCCAGATCGCGACCCAGCAGCCAGGACGCCGGGCCGCCGGAGGCCGGGCACGCGCGCGGGTCTTCGGTCCCGGGCCAGTCGGCCTCATGCTGATTCAGGTACACCGCCAGGCATTCGAGAGCAAGCTCCTTGCGGACGCCGGCATCCGGGGCTCCGGCATCCACGCCACCGGACCCGGCGTCCGACCGGCTGGGCTTCTTGCTCCCGCGGCTGGATTTGCTGGCCGTGTCGAAGGGGTTCCCCGAGGAGGAGCCCCCGGCCGGGGGTTTGCCCTTCTTCGAGGGCTCCCCAGTGGGGGCATTACCGAGGACCAAGGACCCGAGGGTCAGGCCGGCGCTGATGCCGCGCCCGGTGCCGGCACCGGGGCCAGGCCCGGGCGAGCGCCGGCCAGAGGGGCCGGCCGCGCCCCGGCCGGCAAAGGTCGGCGCCGGAAAGACATGCTCGAAGCGCACGTGGATGTTCCGAACGACCAGGTGGAGGTTTTGGATGAGCCGGGCCACAAGGCGAGCTCCGAAGCCGGTGTTCTTCGGGCCCTTGGCCGAGCCGGAAGAGGCCGAAGGAGTTCCACTGAGCGAGCTGGCCAGGTCCTTCATGGCATCTTGCACTCGGCGCTCGAGGAAGTCCTATTTGCGGCGGGGGGGCGGGGGAGCGAGGAGCAGGACGATAGGGCCGTGTCAGGCAGGGGCGATGACAAGGTGATCGCCCAGATGGCGGAGGGGGGATGGGCGGGGGGACAAAGAAAAACACGACACCGGGGAGGGAGGGGAGACAGAGAGAGGGAGAGAGGGGGGGGGGAGGGGGAGAGCGAAGGGAGAAAGAGAGGAAAGGAACATACGAGCACTGATTCCGGTCGGAGAGATCCGGCGACGAGATCCACCGCGTCCAGATCATCCGGCGAGATGGACAGCACACAGTACAGCCCCTCGATCGAGACATGCATCGGGTCCGACAGGAGCTTGGTCCAGGAGAGGGAGAGCTTGATCGATCCAATGTGGCCTGGGGTTGGGAGGGCGGAGGGCGGA